GTTACCAAGGCAGAGAGAGCTAAAGGGGTGTAGGGGGACCCTCCTGTGTACCTCAGGTGCTCACCAGCAAGTAAGTGCACTGTGACCAGATCTTGGTCTTAGTCCCTGCTGGGCCCCTCCCTGGACAGCTGCTTCTGGAGCAGTTGCCATCTCTCAATGGGCAAGAAGCACCTACACTGGACGCCAGTGACCTTAGAATGTCCACCCAGGTTGTGACAGGCTTTGTGAAGCCAGAGGAGCCCCCGAACTGTGTTGTTTGGGCTCCAGTGTCTTCCAAAGACTTTGGGAAAAGGTTAGACCTCAAACAGGGCAAAGAAAGTACATGAGCCAAACTGAGCTGAGTCACATGCAAGGCAATAGAGAATGGTGGGGACTGTGGCAAACCAAAGAACACGCGTCAGCTAAAGGGGGCAGTCACACTTTAGTTTCAGCTAATAGTTGCCATGTGGAAACTGGCACCCGGCACTGGCAGATCTTTGGGAGTTTTAAAAAGAAAACCAGAAAATCAGATTTTTTTTTTTTAACATGAAGTTTCCCAAGTCTCAAAGTGCTGTTCAGGCTGGACTCAGCCCACAGGCCACGAGTCTGCAAGCCTGGCTTTAGTGAGACAACTTTTTCCATTTTCACTCCCAGTCTCAGCTCTCCAAATTGGCTTTCTGACTATCCACAGGAGAAGGCCTGAGCAAAATGGAGTGTTGCCAGGAGGCAACCCCTTCCCCCTCTGCCCTCAGCTCAACCTCCAGTGGCAGCTTCTCCCTGGGCCAGGTTGGAGTGTCCGGCTCCCTCCAATGGGACAAAGTCCCCCACCCCCACCCCACCCCAGGGGCGCTTTCCAGACTGACTTCTGGCAGGCAAGCCTGAGCTTGTCTGAAGCCCACTGCCTGCAAGCTGCTGGAGGCTTTGGATTCTTCAGACCAGACTCAGCATAGCAGCCGGGGCCAGTCCCCTCCAGGCAGGCTGCGGCCAGTCCCCTCCAGGCAGGCTGCGGCTCACCCTTGCAGCCCATGACTCTGCTCTTCAAATTCCACCCTTTTGACCCTCCAGCCCCATCCCCTCTCTTCCCAGGCTGCTCAGGGCTGGCCCCTCCTCATCTCCTTCCCCCACCTTTTACAGAAAACAGGGAGCAGCTCTTCTCGTGTATCATGCCGCCGTCTTTCAACTCTGGATCTTTATATGTGTTGTGCCCAAACTGTGCCTGAACGATCTCCCCCACCTCACCCTGCACCCAATATTCCTGCACCCGGGAGCTCCTCAGATCTCAGCTCAGAAACCACTTCTTCCAGGAAGCCCTCCCTGACCAGTGATGCTAGTTTAGGGGCTGAAGTCAGGCGCCCCCCATCACGGCACAGTTCTACTTCTTCCCTGCGAGAGGGAGTGGACATTCCTCAGGACAGGGGTCGTGACCATGGCGCTGTTTCTAGAGCACATCTTACACCTCGCCTTCAGCTTGGGGCCAGATGCTTAAATATTTGTAAAAGGAAGGGAACGTGGAGGGAACGTGGAGGGAAAGGAAAGCGGCAGCTGGGAGCCCCTTCGCATTTCTAGTCTTCGCTCTCATCTTTCTCTGCTTCCAGCTCCAACCGCCTAAGGTCTCCTTTCTAACGGTGCCAGAAACAGCGGTTCCGGGCTTCACCCTTCTCCGTCCCTGGCCGCGGAGTGCGCCGAGTCCTGGCCTGGGGCGGCCCTCCAAGAACCACTGCGCCCCAACTTCTGAACGCCGAGGGTCTCCGGGGTCGGGTCGGATGTTCCCC